CAGATCTTTTCCTGTAATTGATATCTAGCCTCATGGCGTTGTGGTCAGAAAAGATACTTGATACAATTTCAATTTTCTTAAATTTACCAAGGCTTGACTTGTGACCCAAGATATGATCTATCCTGGAGAATGTTCCATGAGCACTTGAGAAAAATGTGTATTCTGTTGTTTTTGGATGGAATGTCCTATAAATATCAATTAACTCCATCTCGTTTAATGTATCATTTAAAGCTTGTGTTTCCTTATTTATTTTCATTTTGGATGATCTGTCCATTGGTGAAAGTGGGGTGTTAAAGTCCCCTACTATGAATGTGTTACTGTCGATTTCCCCTTTTATGGTTGTCAGTATTTGCCTTATGTATTGAGGTGCACCTATGTTGGGTGCATAAATATTTACAATTGTTATATCTTCCTCTTGGATCGATCCCTTGATCATTATGTAGTGTCCTTCTTTGTCTCTTCTAATAGTCTTTGTTTTAAAGTCTATTTTGTCTGATATGAGAATTGCTACTCCAGCTTTCTTTTGGTTTCCATTTGCATGAAATACCTTTTTCCATCCCCTTACTTTCAGTCTGTATGTGTCTCCAGGTCTGAAGTGGGTCTCTTGTAGACAGGAAATATATGGGTCTTGTTTTTGTATCCATTCAGCCAATCTGTGTCTTTTGGTGGGAGCATTTGGTCCATTTACATTTAAGGTAATTATCGATATGTGTGTTCCTATTCCCATTTTCTTAATTGTTTTGGGTTCGTTATTGTAGGTCCTTTCCTTCTTTTGTGTTTCTTGCCTAGAGAAGTTCCTTTAGCAGTTGTTGTAGAGCTGGTTTGGTGGTGCTGAACTCTCTCAGCTTTTGCTTGTCTGTAAAGGTTTTAATTTCTCCATCAAATCTGAATGAGATCCTTGCTGGGTAGAGTAATCTTGGTTGCAGGTTTTTCTCCTTCAACACTTTCAATATGTCCTGCCACTCCCTTCTGGCTTGCAGAGTTTCTGCTGAAAGATCAGCTGTTAACCTTATGGGGATTCCCTTGTGTGTTATTTGTTGTTTTTCCCTTGCTGCTTTTAATATGTTTTCTTTGTATTTAATTTTTGACAGTTTGATTAATATGTGTCTTGGCGTATTTCTCCTTGGATTTATCCTGTATGGGACTCTCTGTGCTTCCTGGACTTGATTAATGATTTCTTTTCCCATATTAGGGAAGTTTTCAACTATAATCTCTTCAAATATTTTCTCAGTCCCTTTCTTTTTCTCTTCTTCTTCTGGAACCCCTATAATTCGAATGTTGGTGCGTTTAATGTTGTCCCAGAGGTCTCTGAGACTGTCCTCAGTTCTTTTCATCTTTTTTCTTTATCCTGCTCTGCAGTAGTTATTTCCACTATTTTATCTTCCGCATCCTGTACTTTTATTTGCTATATTTGGTGGCCCTACTAAAGAGTCATTCAACCCCTACCACCTTCCATTCTTCAGCCTGCTCTGTAGAGTCTCTGCCAAGGCAAGTGGGCATCCACCCCAATGGACATTTCTGGTCCCAGGGATTTCCCAGCATTGAACACAATCTGTCTTCCTGAAATGTTTACCTGCTGCCTCTCACATCACTCTTTGAGACCATATAGAACAAATCGAATCCTTTTTTCCTTAAAGAAGTTCAAATATTGAATTCACTTTGTTGGAGACCACTTTGTGTTACAAACTTCCTATGAACTAAAACCAGTGGTGTGCTGGTAAACTGGATTTAAAAAAAAAACCCCAAAACATAAAACAAAACTCTAATTTGTGGGATATGCTGTTTTCTGTAGTGAAAATATTCCTATATGACAGCATGACCAATTTCAAACTGCCAAAGTGAAGTCATTGATCTCAGAGTTGGGAAGTGATACATACTTTCTACACTTGAGATCTGTATGAACTAGATCCAGCACACCAATCCCTAAGTTTTCTTTTTATTAACATATTCTTCTGCTTAATTATATTTCACTCTACTTGGACATTGGATTGTTGATGTTGGTCTTTTGAGGAAAAGAATTCTACAAACATACTGCAGGTAGATTTGATAAGAAGAGGTGACAGATGGCTTTGGAGAATGAAGGAGAGAGTGATAACCAGATAACTCCCAGATTACTGGTTATTGCTACTAATCGAGATAGAAAGAGTAGGTTCAGGGAGGAAAGATAACTAATTTATACCATCATGAGCAAATATTTATTGAGCACTAATCCATGCCAGGCACAGGCACTTCTGGGTGCTGAGAACCAATACAAGAGAGAATACCACAAATAAAAATCCTTGCTCCTGTGGAGATGACATTTTATCCCATTAAAATTGGCCCCTTGAAGGAAACCTGTGGAAATCTCTTTGGATCCTGAATCTTCTGCCAAGTAACTCCTCTATCCTTTCCAACTTCAAGCCACTAGTACATTTGATAAAGGCCTTTTGAGCACCTTGTACCACACCATTAGAAGAAACCTCCTTCCAAATTGATTCCGTATGCTGTCAACCCTTGTAGGAAGCCTTCCCTGACGCTTCTTGCTTCCTCCTTCCCTCCAAATCCAGGTAACTCTATTCCCATAGCAACCCCTGGAGTCATTAGATGTAACCTTGTAATATGTATCTCTTTACTTCCCCACTACATTGTAAATTTCCAGAGGTTGCTTTCTTAGCCAGTTCCATCTTAAATAGATGAAGCAGAGCTATCCATCAGCTTAGCCTTTATCTGAAGTAGCAAAGTCCAAACTAAATACACTTTTAATTTAGAACATTCATTTAAACCAAAGTCACTTTACTTTACATTAATATTTTCCCTCTTATTACATTAAAATAAAACCCCAAACAAAAATATAGCCCCTAAAATCTGTCCTTCAGGAATTTAATTCTAAGTACATACACACAGTTTTTTAAAAAAAAATTATAAAAGTGGTGCTTTTGAACTTCCTAAAATGACTTTATTCATTATTTTTCATTTGGCTTACATGCATGGAGGAGAAATGATAATTAAATGATGGCCCCAAGGCCAAATATTTACTTGGAAAAGAAAGAACACAAACACATCAATTGATGTCATATGTCAGTCATCCCATGACCAACTAGGAGAGAGAATGGCTTTGGTCTAGACTCTGGCATCCAGTAGAAATCATCTCTAGAAACTGTTTCATCTTTATTCCTGCTGGTAATGTAGCATGGTGTTCTCTAGGCAAGTTACATCTGCACATGGCAAATCTACAGGACTCTAAAGGGGGTTATTTGAATATTTCTTCATTTATAGTAAGTGGTTTCAGTAGGACCTGTGAATTTGCTTAGGTTTTCTGAAGATACCAGAATCGAAGCCTTATACATTCCTTTTGTCCTCAGAACAGATATCACACCCACACTTTCAACATTCCAGTAAGTTTTTTTATTTTAATATTTTATTTCTTTTTTTAAAACATCTTTATTGGAGTATAATTGCTTTACAATGGTGTGTTAGTTTCTGCTTTATAACAAGGTGAATCAGTTATACATATATACATGTTCCCATATCTCTTCCCTCTTGCGTCTCCCTCTCTCCCACCCTCCATATACCACCCCTCTAGGTGGTCACAAAGCACCGAGCTGATCTCCCTGTGCTATGCGGTTGCTTCCCACTAGCCATTCTGATTGGTGTGAGAGGATATCTCATTGTAGTTTTGATTTGCATTTCTCTAATGATTAATGATGTTGAGCATTCTTTCATGTGTTTGTTGGCCATCTGTATATCTTCTTTAGAGAAATGTCTATTTAGGTCTTCTGCCCATTTTTGGATTGGGTTGTTTGTTTTTTTGTTATTGAGCCACATGAGCTGCTTGTAAATTTTGGAGATTAATCTTTTGTCAGTTTCTTCATTTGCAAATATTTTCTCCCATTCTGAGGGTTGTACTTTGGTCTTATTTATGGTTTCCTTCACTGTGCAAAAGCTTTTAAGTTTCATTAGGTCCCATCTGTTTAGTTTTGTTTTTCTTTCCATTTCTCTAGGAGGTGAGTCAAAAAGGATCTTGCTGTGATTTATGTCATAGAGTGTTCTGCCTATGTTTTCCTCTAATAGTTTATAGTTTTTGGCCTTACATTTAGGTCTTTAATCCATTTTGAGTTTATTTTTGTGTATGGTGTTAGGGAGTGTTCTAATTTCATACTTTTACATGTACCTGTACAGTTTTCCCAGCACCACTTACTGAAGAGGCTGTCTTTTCTCCACTGTATATTCTTGCCTCCTTTATCAAAGATAAGGTTACCATATGTGCGTGGGTTTATCTCTGGGCTTTCTATACTGTTCCATTGATCTATATTTCTGTTTTTGTGCCAGTACCATACTGTCTTGTTTCCTGGAGCTTTGTAGTATAGTCTGAAGTCAGGGAGCCTGATTCTTCCAGCTGCATTTTTCGTTCTCAAGATTGCTTTGGCTATTCGGGGTCTTTTTTGTTTCCATACAAATTGTGAAATCTTTTGTTTTAGTTCTGTGAAAAATGCCAGTGGTAGTTTGATAGGGACTGCATTGAACCTGTAGATTGCTTTGGGTAGTAGAGTCATTTTCACAATGTTGATTCTTCCTATCCAAGATCATGGTATATCTCTCCATCTATTTGTATCATCTTTAATTTCTTTCATCAGTGCCTTATAATTTTCTGCATACAGGTCTTTTGTCTCCTTAGGTAGGTTTATTCCTAAATACTCAATACATTTTTCCTGGGAGATATTCAGAACATTCTTACATTTCTTTTTTTTAAATTTATTTATTTTATTAATTTATTTTTGTCCACCTTGGGTTTTCATTGCTGCGTGCGGGCTTCCTCTAGTTGCAGAGAGGGGGGCTACTCTTCATTATGGTGCATGGGCTTCTCATTGCTGTGGCTTCTCCCGTTGTGGAGCATGGGCTCTAAGCAAGTGGGCTTCAGTAGCCGTGGCACGTGGGCTCAGTAGTTGTGGCACGTGGGCTGTAGAGTGCAGGTTCAGTAGCTGTGGTGCACGGGCTTAGTTGCTCAGTGGCACGTGGGATCTTCCTGGGCCAGGGCCTGAACCCATGTCCCCTGCATTGGCAGGTGGACTCCCAACCACTGCACCACCAGGGAAGCCCCCATTCTTACATTTCTAATTTTGTTCCAGTTTGATATGTGTTCCCCGAATTGCAATTCTTTGATCCCAAGTAAATGTTTTCTGCTTCATTACTGCCTCCTGGGTTTATGTAGGTTGACAAGGTTTACGGCAAGTAGGAGCAGGGCCAGGTAAAGAGGTAGGAGTTGCCTGAAGTTGAGGTCTCTGAAACATACAATTATCACCCCAAACCTATTTCCCCCAAAGATGGGGTTGAAGCCAGTTTATATTCTCAAAGCACCAACCATCTGGAGAAAGGGTATTCTGCCCTCTCTGCAGAGCTCTGTGTGCACCCTAATCCATAGCGTCCTCAGTACCTTCATGGTTGCTCATGGCACACTCTGTGGACCAGTCTTGGGAGATCACAGGGGCAACCAGCTCAGCAAACTTTGTCAGAGGGCAGCTGGGGGTGCAGCCAGGCAGCGTGAGGGGATGTGGTTCATGCTGCGTCTCATTCCGATAGTACATCTCTATGAAGTACTCCCTGGTGAAGGAAGGTAGAGGAACAGGAGGAAAGACCTCTGTTAGTTCTGTGTTGTTGAACTTCCATTGAATTTCTTTCTACTTAGCCTGTACCATGTCAGCTGAAGGACTAGTGGAAGAATTTATGGGAAAGAGTAGATATTAGCCAATTTAGCTGTGGGAAGAGGGCGACTGGGGCAGGTGGGCCAGATTGGGAGGGTGGAAATGGGAGGGCTGGTTTGTTAGATGACCAGGGGCATGCGAGGCAGGGACCGGGATGCTTAGTCAGAGCAGGAGCTGAGGGGCAATGGTTGGGGGAGTTGGGGGTGATTTGGTGAACCTTCAAGTAAGAAGTGGGGCGCAGGTGGGTTGTTGGGTTTTCTTTCTCCTATTCTCTCTCTTTCATGCTTCACATTTGCTCTTTCCTTTTCTTTTTCCTCTCTCAATATTTCTTTCAGTCTTCCCCCTGAATGAATGTATCTTCCCTCTCCTTAACCAGGCCAGAAACATGGAACTGAATAATATATAACATATGTGCTTGAATATACAGCAAGACTTATAAAAATGATACCTCAGAAGGAGGGGGTGGGTGTGTATTCAAGTCCTTACATTTGCTTGTGTTGAGGAGGGCTCTCTCACCACTTTATTTAAAAAAAAAATACACTGTTTAGGGAAGGACCACTGGCCCAAACCAACCTTGTAAAGCTAGTACAAGCTGCCTATGGAAGTCATTTGCCAAAGAGACAGGAGAGAAATTCAAGTATAGTAACCTCACAACTGCAACTTTTGGATGTTGTTATAAACAAGCCTTTCAAATAAATCACTTTAAGAAACCATATAAACAGTAGTAACCACAAATATTCATTTATATGTTTCTAAAAACTTCCCTAATATTATATGAATGAGCACTTATATCTTGGAATAACTTTTTCAATGACAGTATCCTTTATATCATGATAATATGTCAAAGATGACTAACAGTCAATCAAAATTCATGATTCTCTTTACATAGAATAAAGTTACAGCTGAGAAGTGAGTATGCTTCCCAGACTCCCTTGCAGTCAGGAGGCACCAGGTGACTAATTTTAGCTAGTATTGTAGAATGTAAGTAGAAGTGACATATGCCCCTTCGGGGCTGAGGTGCTTGCTAAGCAGATTGTCTTCTCCACCCTCTCATTCTTTCCTACAAGCTCTCTGCAGGTGAGCACAGCACTCTTGAAGACTGTAGGTCCAAAAGATGGAATCCTGGGTCCCCAAATCACCATGTGTGAATCACACCATGGATGAGTCACTTCCTATTGGCCAGGAACATCTGCATTGGACTGTTAGATGAATGAGAATGAAATCTCCATTGAGTTAAGCTTCTGAGATTTGAGGTTCATCTGTACAGCAGCCAAAATTACCCTTATTAATTAATATATTTGGAAAATATTTTTAGGGGACTCAAAATTGGCTCCGGTGGTAAAGACACAAGTAAAGGTGCATACAAAGAGTTTGAATAAAAGTGTTTCATAAAATATGAAAGTGAGAAGAAGCACTATTTAACTTAGTGAATTATTTTATATAGTATATGATTTTAAGTTTATGTACGTAACCAAAAATGGAATAGTTTTAGAATATATTTAGCTATCTTGTGTGTGTGTGTGTGTGTGTGTTACGCGGGCCTCTCACTGTTGTGGCCTCTCCCGTTGCGGAGCACAGGCTCTGGACGCGCAGGCTCAACGGCCACGGCTCACGGGCCCAGCCGCTCCGCGGCATGTGGGATCTTCCCGAACCGGGGCACGAACCCGCGTCCCCTGCATCAGCAGGCGGACTCTCAACCACTGCGCCACCAGGGAAGCCCTATTTAGCTATCTTATCTACAAACTTAAAAGTTTGTATGTTTAAGGTGGATAAAAATCTAAAAATTCTCTTTTTCTCTCTTTATTTTCTCATAGGGATAAAGTGGAATCACCTTACACAGAGGATCCCCTAATTTGCTGGTATATACATATGCCTATATTTGTTAACTTGGGTTCTCCTTGTTCCTAATCTATAAGCAAGCAAGTTTAACTTTTGATACTCCTCTGGAGTGTTAAAAAAAATCTTAATATAACAACAAACTTGACTTCTGCCTGTGAGTGACAGTTGGTTACTTTTTTTTCTGTTGTTCAGTGTCTCTTAGTTGAAAAATACCCCACACTTAATTCATAATATGGATTTATTCAAGGTGGTGAGAGAATGATTCAGTGGGACAAAATGCTTCAGTGACCTAAATAAAAGCAGGCTCAGGACTACTGGGTACAGAAATCAGAGAGGAGGGAGGCTCGAGGAAAGTGGGTAGTTTCTTTTGTCTTATCCCGAAGAGACAGAGCCTACTCCTAGAGCTGATTCTGGAATTTTCACTGGATTTATTAACTCTGTGCCTGAAGCCAGTATTGACAGAGCACTTGTCCACAGTCTTCTCATTCCCATTTTCAGCTTTGTTTGGATTTTCTCCATGTTATGGGATTTGTCTCTCCATTCTGACTCTAGATATTTGAGAGCAAAACTTGCTAAGACCACATTTCAGTTCTATTTCATTGTGCTTGGCACCCAGTTAGAGGTTCAACAAAGGATGAACTTACCTTTCCCTAACTGTGCAGAACTCACTTTCTTTGTAAGCAGTGAAGATCTTGGTAGAGAATAGGTCTCTGTGTTGCTATTTTCCTACTCTACAAATTCAGGTGGCCAGAAACCTATAGCCAGGACTACAATTTGCAAAAAGAAATGCAGGGTGCCTTGTTTAAAAATTATTAAGAATTTCAGAATGGCGACACTGGGTCATTAAACCAAGCACGGGCTCTTCTGAGCACAGGGCCCTGTGTAATTGTAGTCAAGATCGTCCTGACTGCGGCTATGGTGAATGCCGTAAGGGGAGAGCAAAATGCACCTCCCCAGCTAATCCTGAAACAAAAATTTGGGGTCCCTGCCCTAACTTAGCCCCTGCCTTGTTCTTATTCCACCAATAATATTCAAGAGGTCTCTTCCTCCCAACGAGAATGCCGGTGTCACAGCAGGTACAAATTTTTGGTATGACCTTGGCTATAGTGACCAACTCTTCCTGGTTTGCCCAGGGCTTTCCTGGTTTTAACAATGAAACTTACATGTTCTGGGAACCTCTCCAGTTCTGGGTAAACTAGGACACTTGGTCTCTCTAAACGTGGCCTTTCTAGTGGGCTTGAGCCAAGCCTTGGTCAGCTGGGGAGGGCCACACCAGATTGCAAAGTGGTGAACACTGAGCAGAGGTTGTACTTTAAGAATCCTACCTGACGGATATGTATTGCCAGAAGTTGCATGGATATGTTTGACATCTTTAATTGAAAGAACATTATTAATAACCATCAACAAACTTAATTTTTCTCTTGGCATCTTTTACCAGCCTGTGTTTTCCAAGAGAACAGTGTAATGTCCTCATCCTTCTTAGAATACCTTAATCTTTTTTTAAAAATGTAATTTCTGTCACTTAGGGTGGTTCTTTCAAATTTTTCGTCTACTGTGTCTGTACATTATTTCCCAATAAAGGTCGTCATGAAAACAAAGAAAACGGAGGTCATGACTAAGCAAAGATAGTGTTACTCACCACCATTCTTCCCTCTGAATATAAAACCAAACCAACCAGACAGACAGACAAAACAACTCTTAAGTCAGTAACAACAATAATGATAACAAAACCTAGGATCCAGTGATATTAATTTTAGACACTTAGACACTTCTTAGACACTCTCTTAGACACTTAGACACACCTCTTAGACACTTACCCCTTCTCAAAGTACAATTCCGTCAAGTGGCAGGACGCATGGGGAGGAAGGATTCCGTTGTAAACATCTAGCGCCATCTGTAGGGCACTCACAGTAGTGTCATGCTACAGAGATTTGAAACAAACATTTTTGATCTTTATCTCTGGTTCAAATTTACAGTCAACAGACGTGTATCAAGCATTTGTAGAGCACCATGATGGTTTCTGATTCAATTAAATTGTCCATACCTCCAATGACTTAAGAAGTAGAGAGGTAAAGGACAAATTTTGATTGTGCATCTACTGGGTGCTAGGCAGTGAGATTTACATACATATAATTATTTCCTTTCAAAAGATGAAGAAACTGAAACCCAAAGGAATTAAGTTACTTGGGTGGAATTCCCTGGCTTTCCAGTGGTTGGGACTGTGCACTTTCACTGCTGAGGGCCCGGGTTCAATCCCTGATAGGGGAACTAAGATCCCACAAACCTCATGGCATGTCCAAAAAAAAAAAAAAAGAAAAGAAAAAAAAAAGAAATTTAGTAACTGGCTTTATGTCATATATCTCCAAAGTGAAAGAAAGTAAAATCCGAGCCAAGCCTTCTGATTTTGTCCTATGCCTTCCCCAGTAGAACATCTCTCTCTTTTAGCCTGTTTCATTGATTTTCATTAAATTTTAAAATAATTTGGCATATATTAATGCTAGATTATATATTTTTTTACAGATTAGCATCATCTGTGATTTTAAAGTTGGGGAAGAATATATGAAGTTACAAATGTTTAGACAGAATAAAATGTAAGGAAGTAGAGTGTGTAGCTTAAAAAGAATTGTTAAAGGTTTATCTCAGAATAGCTGGAAGGCATGAGACTGGTTTTCAGCCCCAGTTTTGCCACCTATTAGTTATCTAATCTTAAGAAATCCTCAATTTTCATATCTACAAAATGGGCATAACATTTGGTTGCCTAAACTCTATGGCAGCATATACATACTCAAAGGGGTTAGAACTGATTTACTAGAGAAAAAGAAAAAAAAAGGAGTGACAGATTTATGACTTGCCAAAAGTCACACAAGTTAGAACTGGAAACCAGATTAGAAACTAGAAACCCTGAAAGAATCAATTAACTTCAGGCCTGCCTTTATCAAAGAAGCACTGCATTCTGTTCCCTCCATGAGCTCGTTCTCTAGTCTATACCATTTAGAACCCCAGATGATAGACTGCCTGTATCTTTAATAATCTCTTCCATCTTCTTGCAGAATGAAACCATGGCTTTCTCCAGCCAGACCACATCTAAGAAATCCTCTGTCCTGCAGAAGTGGATGGGAGACCGACTTATCCCTCCCTGTCCTGTTTCCCTGCTCATCCCAGACTCAAGGGACACCCATTTCAGTGCATAGTACATCTCTAGACTTCTCCCCCAACAATGCCTCTTTCCCTGGCTCCTGCTCCGAGATGGATGCCTTCTCCAAGATCTCTCTCTCTTTCCTTTCTACACCCAACTGTAGCTCTGACTTCAAGTTGTAGATTTCCTTCCCTTTCCTTCTTATATCCCCTTTACTATCTGAAGTTTCCTCTTGGATGCAGCTGGCATTTCAAACCCAACTGCCTAATGGTATATTCATCTGACCCATGACCACCTCTATTAATGGTTCCACCCTCCTTCCAGTCATTGAGACTTGAAACATTTACCTTCATCTGTGGCTTAGCTTCCAGATCATTGCCCTCCGCCCACATTCCAATTCATCACCAAGTCTTTACACTCAGCTTTCCTTGTAATTCTCCTATCACTTTCCCTCTCTGTTTCTGTTCTGGTTTTAGTTTGGAACAGAAGTGATGTTTCCCTTCTCTGAGGCACCAAAGCACTGGCTTGTATGACACTGCGATTCTGCTTTGCATGGTATTTATGTGCTTACTTTTCTTCTTGTCAGTATTGAACTGTAAATTCCTTGAGAGCCAGAATTATGTATTTAATTTTAAAGAATTTGAACAGGGAAATGATGATGAAGAAGATGAAGGCCCCTCCTGAAAGAACTCACACACTTGAATAAACAGATGCTGAATGGGAACAAAATACTTACTGCAGAATATATAATGAGTTTTCTGTGGTTCAATGGCTGAGTTGCACTCTTCATGTGATAGAGGATTTCTTTGACCAGGACACCTTAAAGAAGATAGATCAACAATTGAGCTGAACCAAATATGGGCTTATATTTTAGTTCATAAGCTTTTTGCTCATTCATACAGAGATTCTCTCTGCCAGGATTCTTAAGACTTAAGAAGAGAGGGCAAGAACTCATTTTGGTGGAGCATCTGCTGTGTGCTAATAGTGTGATTTGTATACATTATTTCACTGAATCCTGACTTCTATCCCCATTTATAAGTGAGGAAGCTGAGGCTCAGAGCCATTAAGTGACTCACTCAGCTGGGGAAGGAGAGCTGGATTGGCATGTTAGGACTTTAGTATACCAGATTTTGTTAAAACTCAAGTTAGGAGGTTGATGAACTTGGAATTTCAGACAGGTTTTTACAGATAGTTGTTAGCCATTGCTCTTGTCCAGGGCAGGTCTGAAATCACAGGGTGGCATGCACCTCTCTGTCTTTATCCCTCTGGCAGCCACACCTGTGAGAGGCCAGGGGAGAAAGCAGCTCTCTGGATGTCTGCAAGGGTGCAGACTATCTTCTGTGGACCATTGCTCCAGGTTACTCTGGGTGTCACTATTAGGGGGGCAGCCAGCACTTTTAGTTTTCATCTGAGGTCTCCATCTGTCATCAATAGAGGAAAGCTTTTGCCCTTTGCATTTGTTGCTCCTGAGGTGGTAAAAGGCACACAGACACAGCACAGAGTCTCCATCCCATCAGCAGACACTGGGGCTGAGGATACCTCGCGGTGCAGGTGCTGTCCTGAGGACGTGCTGCCCCAGGGGCTTCCACACCATCCACCGAGGACTCCTTGTGTCTCTGTTGGTCATCTCTCTACAGTGCATGGGTGTCCTCACTTAAGGATGACCAGTTTTCTTTTGTAATGAGCAGGGCATTGATGTTAACAAAAGATTGTGATCCCAGACTCTGTGGTCCACTCAGCAAATCACGCACTGAGCAGCTACGATGGGTGAATCAGACATGGTCCCTGTCCTCAAAAAGCTCATAAAACAGTGAGAAGAGACTGTCTATTGGTCTGTGTACCAATAAGCACAATAAAAGAGGGAGGTGATCTGCTCTTTCCGTGGGTGCTAGGGCTTCCTTGACTAGGAATAGAGGGAACTATAGGCTGCACTTCCCACAGGTCTGCACCTTTCTGCTTCAGGGAAGGTTGCCTTCTGGGAGCCCTTCAGAGCTTAGGCTTGATCTTCGGGCCACGATGGAACTAAACTCTGTGGCCGAGTTTCTGGGAGTCATGACAGCCACCTTCAATCAGCAACTTGTCCCTTGTCAGCAGGTGCCTTTGCAGCAGCTTTCAGTGTTGATGACGGAATAGATCAGCTCTTGGTTCTGGGGTGCTTGTGCAACTTGTCCCAGGAGAAAATAGGGGTAACTATCATAATAATCCACAGGCTCTGGCATGCCAATAGTCATGGTGTTTTCTTGTTTGTTTGTTTGTTTGGTTTTTTTTTTTTTTTGCGGTATGTGGGCCACTGTTGTGGCCTCTCCCATTGCGGAGCACAGGCTCCAGACACGCAGGCTCAGCGGCCATGGCTCACGGGCCCAGCTCCTCCGTGGCATGTGGGCTCTTCCTGGACCGGGGCACGAACCTGTGTCCCCTGCATCGGCAGGCGGACTCTCAACCACTGCTTCACCAGGGAAGCCCACTAGTCATGTTTTATAGGAGGGGAAGCTGAGGCTCAGAGAGGTTCAGCAACTTGTCCAAGATCATACAGCTTGTAAGTAGAGGGGCTGAGTTTCACTGAACTCAGCATGTCCAGCTTCAAAACCTTGGTCTTAATTATTAGGCCTCACTGTAGCTAGCTTCTAAGTTCCCTGGTGCATCATTTATTAAATCTGCATACATTAGACAGAATATTATTGATTTGAAGACATAAACTTCACTTCTGTCACTATTGGGCTATATCAGGAGTTGGCAAACTTGTTCTATAAAGGGCCAGTAGTATATGCTTTAGGCTCCGTGGGCCAGGTGTTCTGTCACAACCATTCATTCTCAAGTGGAAGCACAAAAGCAGCCAAAGATACTACCTAAATGCATGAGTGTGGCTGAGCTTCAACAGCATTTTATTTACAAAAAATAGGCAGCAGCCTGGATTTGGCCTGCAGGCTGTTGCCTGCCGACATCTGATCTATAGCAAGAAGCAATTTGCATTAACACAAACAGGACCAGCCATATATTCCTAAATTAGCCTTAGGAATTAGCCTAGAGATTTTCTTGTGTGTATGGGGGTGTGTTGTGGGGGAAGGCAATGGGAGCAGGATATTACTGAACAGTGTCACCCTTGAAACCAAGTGATGGAACAGAAGTTTTGGCAAAGGTAAGAAGATGCCAGTCAAAGTCCTGATGTTCCCTTGTGACTCTGTCTCCCAGACTGTACATGCTTTCTCTGCAGGGTTGGGTTCAGGTGCTTCATAACAAGCGTGTAGTTGACAAATCTCTCTTGCCTTGCCAGATCTGAACAATATGCTGAGCTTGTGTCTTGGCAGGAATCACTAAGGAAACAATTTCCTGGCTTATCAATAGCACTGGGCTTCCCCTAGAAAATAGGACAGGTGTATGCATATGAGTGCCAGTCCTTATAGAGTCCAAGACCCAGAGACCACCTTAGGGAAGGACTCTGATAGACAAATCTAGTTTAGTGAACTCATCAGATGGGGAAACTGAGACCCAGAGAGGGGAAGTGACTTCCTCAAAATGCAATCTCTAGTAGCCAAGGGAAAAAAGTAAAGGAAATATGAAGCAAGCTGCTGGGAAAACCCCCATCTTATATTCGGATACAGGTCCCTGCATTTATTAACAGATTCTAGTCAACCCCTACCTGGCTTTCCCTGCCCTTTTCTTCACCATCTCCTACATCTAGAGAAGTGCTTCTGAAACTTTATTGTACATGTGAGGTATCTAGGGATTTCATTAAAATGCAGATTCAGATTCAGCTAGTCTGGGGTGGGGCCTAGGATTCTGCATTTCTTTCTAGGGGCTTGGCGATGCTGACGTTGCTGGTCCATGGACTGCATCTTTAGTAGTGAGGGGGTGAATTCCTGAGCCCATCATGACTAGGTTGGGGAAATGAAGAATCTTGTCTCTACCATCTGATGCATTTGGCCACCATACTGCTGGTTCCTGCTGGTTCAGGAATGAGATCTGGTGCTTATGTGGCCAATGAGGCCCAACTTTCACCCTCTGCATCCTTTGTTGTTTGGTACGTAGGATTGAGTTGGGTCTTGGGCTCTGTTCCTACACACAGTCTGTGTCCTGCCTGCTAATTTTTCCTAAGACACCAGATTCCATCTATGACTCATCTCTGGATGCTCTCCCATCCCCAGGGTCTGGGTCTTGTGGTTCATGTCCTCAGCACAGAGTGAGGACTTGTACATTCTCATCAAGTCTCTCTCTGCACTGTGCAACCAGGGCTCTGTAACAGCAGGTCTGCAACACTATTACATCATTCATGACCACTGCCCTAAATTATTTGTCCCAAGGTACTTTGTTCACCTCATATGAAATTACTCCCAACCATACTGACTTCATACCTCATTAGCTGTTCTAGTTACAGCTTACTTCACTCTTTATATGAGCTGTTGTAGCTATAATTGACTCCTCTCCTGGCTGGTGACTTGAATTCTTTCTCTAGCTCTGCAGCCCTGAGTGAACATCCTCCCAGTCTGCTCCAACCCCCAGGATGCTTTGTCTCTGTATTCTCCTGGGGGTCTGCTGAACTTGTCCAACCTCATGGTGAATGGTGTCTGGCAATTGTTGGAGTCCTGATGTGATTGTATTGTTTTCTTCAAAGTCTCTAGAGTATATGACTCAGAACATCTCCTGTGACTTAAATTTTCTTCATTGTTATGACAGCCTGGCATAATAGACGTCTTTCTCTCCATCTTTAGTTTTAATGTCTACATTAACAACACAGGTTCAGACCTGTCATATCCTCAGGGGTCTTGGCCTGCCACTCAGCTGCCCTCAGAGCCTCAGCATTTATCCCCATCCTGCCTGATCTTGGCTTCTTTCTTCGACACATCTATCCTGATTACAAGGGCTGGGCTCCTTCATTATGATTAGATGTCCTGTTCTACAGAGGGCCAAATCCAGCTGAGAAGAGGCATCACTGAGAAGCAAACATCTTTCAACACCAATGGAAAAATTTAAGCTGTGTCATAAGCTTGTCAGTTGCAATAGGTATTAATCTACAGGGCATAATTAGCCTGCAAAGTAAACTGTATTGACTTTAACAGTGGCTACCGCCAAGGGTTTTAGGAAAACAGGCCACTTTTGCTACACCTCCCACTTGAAAAATTCACCCTATAGGCCACCAGACACAATTGATTTTTATGTGTCTCAGATATAAAATCCATGATTCTTTGATCTGGAAAGGATGAAAAGTATCATTTAGCTTTAGCCCAAAGCTTCTGTTTTCCAGACGGGAAAACTAAGGCTCAGAGTGGGTAATATTAATGATCATAAAAACACATAATGTTTGATAGTGTATTATGTATCAGGTGCTATTTGTGGTAAGCCTTTGGAATACATACATTCATTTTAATCCTTACTACTAAAGAAGTGGGTATTATTATTATCCCCAATTTGCAGAATGGAAACTGGTACAGGGGTGATTACCTGTCTAATTCAAGGTCACATAACTTATTAACGGTGGGACCAGGACTCAGACCCAGATCACTTAACCACAATGCTTCTCTCATTTTTAAAATACTTACCCCCCTGCAGTCTAGATTTCTCTTTCTGCCTGTGAATTCCATAGAGGGACAGGAGGGACAATTCTGATATTTCTTTCAACTTAGTCATGGTGTCCTCTGTGGCCCAGGAGGGTAAAGTGAAATTGTGAACACCCTGTAGCAAAGACAAAGGAAGAAAATGTATATTTTTATTTCTGACTGTCCTCTGTATTGACTTTTTAATCCCCCTTCCCCCACAAAAATTACTGAGTCCAGCCTTTCTTGGGAGAGAGGGAGATTTCATGAAAGAGGAGACCAAAGTGAAGTAGCCTACAGAAGAATTAAGTGAGAGAGAAGTAAAAAAAAAAAAAAAAAGTAATGTGGCCACAACTTGGAATAGCTCAGATCAAAATGTAGTAAGGGAAAAAAAAACCCAAGACTTGAACCAGAAAGTGGGTTATTGTTTTTATTGAAGACTCTTTTATAAGACTAACAAATCTTCCTTGAAACAGATGCTGATGATAAAGTGAAAATATTGGGAATGTCGCGTGTGCTTGGGTCAATGAACTCTAACATAGAGGGGTGCAAACTGTGTCATTTGCTATCAAGATGGAACTATGAAAGTAATTCTCGTCCCCAGACACTCACAATGACCTCAAAATCAGAGGTGTATAGGAGTCTTGTGGCTGGTCAGAATTTTGCCCCAAGATTCAGTGAACTGGCTGGGAAAACAGGATTATAGAGTTTTCCTTTTGGCCAGCAGGTGGAGAATGGTGATTGAGAAAAACATCATGAAGCCCTGAAAAAATAGTAATTTATCTAACTAAAAAGCTTATTTCACATGCATTGTATAGCAAAAGAGAAATTCTTTCCTGATAAAGCAATTTTAATAGCCTGGCTTAAAGTTAGCTTGCTTATTTCTACATACAGAAATCAGGTAATTTTTTTTTCTTCTTCTTTCTGTACAACACTATTGCTATTTTCATTAAAGTCTATTTAATGAAGTGGAGCCCAGCGTTCCTGAGTGACTGAAAAATAAGTTAAGTGGTAAGGCACAGAAAAAGCAATTTTGCCTAAATTTTCTTTTTTTTTTAAGATTTTTTTTTGATGTGAACCAGTTTTAAAGTCTTTATTGAATTTCTTACAATATTACTTCTGTTTTATGTTTTGGTTTTTTGGCCATGAGTCATGTGGGATCTTACTTCTCCAACCAGGGATAAAACCCACACTTCCTGCATTGGAAGGCAAAGTCTTAACCACTGGACCACCAGGGAAGTCACCGCTTATAATTTTCTAAAGGGTGTATACGTAAATAAGAGAGAGAAGAAGTCAGAATTTTCAAGTTAATATAAAGAAGTCTTGACTTATGTTTCAATGTCAAAGGAAGTCTAAATAATACATCTGTATAAAAGCAAAAGAAAATGTATTCATCTGTTTCAAAATAGGCATAAATCATAAAATCAGATGGTAAGTTAATCTTTGATATTTTTTCTTTTACCTCACAAAATAAAGGGTCGTAGACTTTACTCCAAATTCCAAAAAGGTCCTGGCCATGGTATCCTGTAAATTTTGGCAAGATTTCTATAAAATCCTGAAACACACACAGAGGGAAAAAATTTTTACACCAGGGTTTCTCGACTTGGGCATTATTGATATTTGGGCTGGATAATTCTTTGCTGTGGGGCTGCCCTGTGCACTGTAGGATGCTCAGCAGCATCCCTGGCCTCTACCCACTAGATGCCACATCATCCCTAGTCCCTCAGTTGCAACAACCCAAAATGTCTCCAGACATTGACAAAGGGTCCCTGTGAGGCAAACTTGCCCCCATTGAGAACTGCTGTTCTTCACATGAAAGTGCACCAGTAATACTGGCTAAGTGCACCAAAGATTTTTACAAATGCTAATTGATCATTTCTTATTATTACATTAAAAATGTGGGCACCTGCTGGCTTACTGCCACATGTTCCTGGTTTGTCCTGGAATCAGACTGAAGTGCACTGCATCAAATTCATCTTGGAAGTAGGTGAAGTATAACTCACATGTAAATGAGTGGAAGGTGAGAAGGGAAAGCATGTCTCAGACCAAAGCACCCCAGGAAGACACAACAGAAACTGGGTCTGGTATCTGGCTATAAATGTGGGATTTGGATGGGATGCAAACATTTCTCTAGGTTCTGTATTATTTTTGGATTGTCATGGTAATGAGACCCATTGGTCAGCTGTCTGCATGATGAATTGGTAGCAATTTCTGGGAAGCCTTTGGAAGATACTGTTTGTCTGATGAATAAATTTTCTAGGAAAATATAATTTGCTAATATTAACCCAAATGGATTTCCATAAAATAAACAGAAATAATTATTAAAGAGCCCACAACCTCCCCCAACAAAACAGAACAAAACAAAACAAAAGCTCCATGGCCAGGTAATTTTATTGGGAAATTCTACCAAGCTTTGTGCTATTTTAACTGACCTGGAGCATAATAAAAGAAAGAAAACTTCCAAAAAATTTGTATAAGCATTGATACTGACAAAGACTGACCAGAAAAGAAAACTATTGTCCAAAGTTACTTTGAATATCAGTGTACAAAGTCTAGGTAAAATATTAACAGATAATTCAATATCATACTAAAACAAGGGGGGCTTGAATCTAGACATGTAAAGATAGTTCAATAATAGTAAATCTATAAATATAATCTTATTAATTGATCCAAGAGAAAAATAACTTGATTTTACTAAAAATGTTGAAAAGACCTTTAAAAAAATTAAACACCAATATTGACAAAAACACTTAAGAAAATAGGAAAGATAGCTAATTCCTTAACTTGATAAAAGTATGTCTATTTGGTCCAAAAGCCAGAATGCTTAATAGGGAAATACTTCTAAAATCAGGAGTAAGACAAGGATACCCACTACCAATACTATTATGTAATAATGGACTGTAAGTACTGGCCAGTACAAATAGGCAAAATAAATCAGAGGTATAAATATTGGAAAAGTAGACGTAAGCCATGATTTTTTTGCAGATCTTATAAGCCTGGAACAAACTTAACAAAAAATATAAAGACCTATATGAAGAAAACCTTAAAACAATCTTGACGATAAGAACAAATAGGAAAATGTATCATGTTCTTGGAAAGGAAGACTCAACAAATTTGCAACAAAGTTGCAAATTCTCCCTAAGTTAATTTATATATTTAATATAACCCCAACAGAAACACTGAAAAGTTAAATGAAAACATACCCATGAAAACTCAGAAAAAGTAGAGAATGAGGGAGAGACTATATAATATGCTTTAAATATTAAAGCATATAAAATTTGTAATAATTATAACTGTGGTTTTGGCTAATAAAATGAAAGAATAATTAAAAAGAAAAAAATTCTAGAAATAGACCTTATACATATGGGAATTTTAATATGTAACAGCTCAAATTAGTGGGGAAAAGATGAACTACTCAATAAACAGTGATAGAGCAATTAGGTAATATTCTGGAAAAAACTTCAGCAGGATACATACCTCACACGTAACACCAGTATAAACTGTAAATGGGTCCAATATGTAAATGTAAAAATGAAGCTATAGTAGAATTATAAGAAAGCATTGCAGACTTCCTTTATAACCAAGGAGTGGCTAAGGCTTTTCTAAATATGACTACAAATATACAAACCATAGATGGCTATATCAGCACACTTACAACCATGTGGCAAAAACGCTGTAAACAAATCAATAGGCAAACAATAAAAAGAGGGCCATTTGTATCCCAGGAAAAAAAAAAGTTAAGAGAGAGAAAGCTCCTAAAACTTTATAAAAAGAAGAAAACCAATAACCCAAAAGAAAAATGGTGAAGGGATATGAACAGAATAGGAAATACAAATGGCTTTTAACTAGACGAAGATACCCAAAGCTCACTCATCGTAAGAGAAAAGTACTACAGCACAGTGTTCTATAATAGTAATGATACTGATCTTTCTTGTCTCATTCCTGATTTTGGAGGGAATGCTTCTAGTGATACCATCTTTCACTTACAGATTGGCAAATATCCTCATAGTTGTCTACACACTGTTCGGAAGGCTGTGGAGAAACAGGCACTCTTATGTATTTCTGATGGGAGTAGAAATTGGTATAACCTGATTGAAGGGTAATTTGATAATATTCAAATTGTCCCAGAATTTCCACTATTTCTGCATACCACTAAATAACACATTTTTTAACCTTATAAGGATGCAGCCTCTTTTGGAATTCCTCTGATTTCAAAGTCTTCCTCTCAAGTTCTTGAAAACGAGAGCAGTTCCTGAAAGGCAGGTATAGCAACTGAGGAAAAAGAGAAATCGTAAATTTTGTATTAGTCAAAAGAACTAAAGAAGCTGCAGCCATTAGGTATAAAGTGACCTGAGTAAAAGATTCAAATGTGTTTTGAGCTGAATGGAATTCTAAAATTGAGGAAAAAGAGATCAATGATCATCTGCTCTTAAATAGTAGGATATATACCCAGAACTCAAAATCTATCTTTTTCATTTCATGAACTTGCCTAAATAGAACTGTGCTATTGGTAAATATTCACACTTCCCGGTTTTTCCTGTGAAATGATAACAATTATCTTGCTTCCTTCCAGACCTCTTTCATTTCTAGCACTAGATGTACATCTATGTGCATGCGTGCACACACATACACACACACAAACACAAACACAAGTACAGAGAAGTGAATTAGAGGTTCCAGAAAGAATCTTAAGAGATCGATTCACTGAAATACGTTCTTGCAAAGTTGCAGACTGTTAAAATAAGGGAACATGATAAACACATAGAAAAATATATTTGAAAACCTATTATGAGGACAAAATAATCATCCAAAAATGAGTTTAAATTTGACAACCTTTTGTAGTTTTAATTATAATCTATAGGCTGGTGACTCCCAAGTTCATTTTGTTGCTCTTACTTTCCATCTGAGCTAGTCTTGTATTTTCAGCCTTTGGTGGATATCACCAGTTGGATGTTCTCTTCATCCTCAAATGTGACATGTACAAACCTGAACTCCACTTCTTCATTTTTAACAATTTCCTTTTTGTAATCTCTCTACTTTTGCCAATGACGAAATTTATCATCCTGCTTCATAGACTAATCACTTTTGCCTGTCTACTTTCAAAACACAGTTGACCTTGAACAATGCAGAGGTTATGGCGGTTAACCCACACACAGTTGAAAATCTGAGTGTAGCTTCACAGTCTGTATCCACTGTTCTGCATCTGGAGGAGTCGACCAACTGGGGATCATGTAGTACTGTACTACGAATTTATTGAAAAAATTCACATATAAGTGGACCCGTGTAGTTGAAACCCTCGTTGATCAAGAGACAACTGTATATCCAAAATAGACCCCTTTTCTTTACTTTCATTGTCCCCTCCCAGTCCAGACCACCATAATCTGTGTTTCAACTACTGTAAGAGCTTCCTATGTGATCAATTTGCATCACAATTCATCCTCCACACAGCAACTACACTAATCCTTTGTATTTTATTTTTGTAAATGCTAGTATCAGTATTTTAAAACCATCAATCAGATCATGCCATTCTGTAGTTTATAACTTTCACTGGCTTTCCATTTTACTAGGAATAAAATCCAAACTCATGCCCTAGTGACCTTTTTGTCCTGCCTTCCCACTGCTGCCCCCTCACTCACTCCTCTCCAGCAACACTGGGGGCCTTCTTGCTGTCCCCTGAACACACAGGCTGGGGGTCTCTGTGTTCCCTGCCTGAGACACTCCCCCCACTCCAGCTCTTCTAGACATCCTGCCCAGCCACTATCACATTACCTTGTTTTATTGCCTTCAAGGAACTCACTGCCATTTGAAATTATTGTATTTATTTTCTTCTTTATCATCCTATCATTCCTATAAAATATAAACTCGAGGATATCCAGAGTCTTGTCTATCTTGTTCACTGCTGAGCTGTCAAAGCCTAGAACAGGGTCTGGCATATTAGTACCTACTCAAAAACCATTTTATTTTTGTAAGTTGCTTCCTTGTCACCTTCTTCTGTGTCGCCTTGTCTTACCTCGCCTTCCTTCCCCTGATGTCTTTACCATCTAATTTCAGGCCTTCACGTCCTCACTCCTGCATGACTTCAACAGTTGTTTTCAGAGAGCTCAGTATTTTCCCTCCAAGCCACTGTCAGACAAATGCCCCAAAGCACTGCTCATTGTGTGTGTGCACAGTACTGAGGGAGGTACACAGTTTTTCTATGTCCCCTGCTTTACATCTAAATTTCCCACCCTGGCTTTCACAATTTTCCACAGGAGAAATGACACTGTTGAGGGGAAAACCACAGAACTATTAATTTAAAGGTCTAGGTTTTAATGAATTACTTAACCTTTCTAGACTTTCGTTTTCTCATCTCACATATTGAAAGAATCAGGCTGAAAATGTAATAATCACCTAACCGTCTGTCCAGAATTTTGCAGGTTACAAAGTCATTTCCTTTTCTTAACTGAGGTGGTTTTCACAAATCCCTGTGAAGAATTTAGGTGGGTACTGTTGTTCCCATTTTACAGAAAAGGAAACTGAGGTGCAGGGAAGTTACTCAAGGTCAAGTATCTGAAGTGGTAGGTGGCTCTCAGACTCAGGTTTTCCCAGCTCTAAATTCAGCCCTCCATCTACATCACGCTGCCTTTGTCTCAAGATTCCTTCTGGCTATTAAATTTGGATTCTCTAACCTGTGCCCGACCACTTATTCAGTCTTATTTTCATTCTTTCTAAATATGAACTCTGAACATAGACGGACAAGCACTCTACCTTGACTCAAAGCTAAGCTTTTGGGCTGCGCTGCTCTCCTTTCCTACCCTCCTCCAAGATCTGGTTCAAGTTCTCACTCTGTCCATGAAGACTTGAATGACTGCCCTGTGGTAGCTCCGAGTATGTCTTATTCTCTGAATTCCTCCAGCATGTGCAGCTTGTTCTTGAAATCGTTGCCCTCCACTTGCATTGTATTCTACACACTTCACAAGTGTGAATATTTTTTCATCAAATGGATTATAAATTAGGGAAGAAAACTGGCCTCATATTTCTCTTCTATTTCTGTATAGCAGTTAGCAAAGTTCTAGGAATAACTTTGGTTGATTGATTGATTTTGTTAAATTTTCTAGTTGATGTTAGAGAGAATTGTTTTCATCTTAGTAGGTAGCAGGAAGCCACAGGTAGACAATCTTACTTGTTTCTTTCTCCCTCTTCCTCACTCTCCCTGTTTTTCTTCCTCTTCTAATAGCACCTGCATTCTCTTTACTATGTAATTTAATCATTATCTTTCAAGATTAAAGGTTAAACAGCTACCCTGGTCTATATTGGCTAAATTTGGTGCTTCCTTCCAGTCTTTGTAGAAAAGGCTGTGGTCAAAGTGAAATTTTTTCTTTTTGGAAGAAAATATTCACAAGCTCCTAAGAACACTGATAATCATAATGATTCCTTCTGATTCTTTGATGGAAAGAGGCATAAATAAATCATCCTATCTTTTCAGGAAACAGCAGAAAATTTGACTGGAGTAGATTTACCTAGAGTGAGGTTGACCAGGTTAAGCTCTTTCTACAAAGCAAGTGGGAAAAATTCTTAAGTCACCAGTTTTGGCAATTGTCAAATTTCTTGGTAACCCACCCCAGAGCTCTCTGAGCAACATTCTAGGTCTGGTAGTCATGCCAAGCCTCAGTCATAAAGAGAGGAGATGGTCATGTTATAATGTGACTGCAGGGGAATTAGGAAGGGTTCCTTGTCCCAAACTATTTCCTTCACACAGTCCTAAATTCCACATCTGGAAGATTAGTTAGACTTATTTATTACTATTTTAAAAAATAGCAATACCTCTGAAAAGATAAAAGAGTTCTTGGTCAGTCCCACCTAGTGTAAATAAATTTGAGAGTTTCTCTCAAACAACCTCATTTAGGCAACTTGGTTTATGGTACTTGTTCTCAGACTTGGCTGTCCACTAGAATCATCTAGGGAGATTTTTTAAAAATATTGATGCCTGGGTCCCACCTTCAGAGATTCTGATTTATTATGGCATGTGCCCGGGGCATCAGGATTTTAAAAAATTTCCAGGTGATTCTAACAGGCAGCTAACTTTGAGAACCACTAGTTTACACTAAAGGAAACTGCTCTGGAATGAGATCAGCCTGGTTCTAGTCTCAGTAGTGATGTTTATCAGCTGTGTGACTTTGGATCTATTTTGTTTGACTTCTCGAGCACTTTTTTCCCTGGCTGGAAAAGAAGGACAATAATATTGTCCATTCAAGATTGTTATGAAAGGTAAATATGATGACACATATAGCGTGTTGGGCACTAATTACATAATCAGATCTTTCTTTTTTACCCTGCCTAGGAATGGGGATTGCCAAAAGTTGAAAGACTAGCAAAACAAAGTGGATAATAAAGCTCTAAAGAGAAATTCTGTTCCTACTCCCTTCTGTTAGGACTTTCTATGTCCTTTGCACCTTTATTTAGAAAAGAATTAAGACTGCACAGCCCATGAAGTGTCCAGACTCCCAACTCCACAAGTCCTGAGCAGCCTGCCTTCCTTCTTCCAGAACCAATGAAATCCCCGTTTTCCATAATACTGACCCGATCTTCAGAAACCGGGACTGTGTGCACTGGGATGGGCTGCCAGGGTAGGCTGGGATTCCAGACGCTGATACCTTCTGGGGGAAATAGGGCTGCAAGGTTTGTCAGAGCACTCATCAAAGCCCGGTCAATATCCGTGCTTCGAACAAAAACCTAGAGTGGGATAATCAAAGGAGAATCCAATAGAGAGGAACTGCGGGTTTTTTTTTTTTCCTGTGGAGCTAATAGTGTATTTCAGAAAGGGCAGAACACCTACACCAAAATATTAGCAGACACTGTGGTAGCATCATGATCATAATACCTATTATGGAAGAGATAATATTATGAGCTTGCCATGGCATAAAGCAACTTGGTACGCCAACAGCTGAATTGACAAAAGAGACCAATCAAGTGGTGGCTACTTGCCAAGCCTAAGTATTTACTGTAGGTGTCCATGTTGAACTTACTTATATTCATACATTTTTTTTAAGGAGTACATTTGTAAACAAGACATCTGACTTTTATAAGTTCCTTGAGAAACAGGGAATTTTTACAAATACATTATGCTAAACTATTTCAAGGGGCAAGGTTCCCACTATTAGCTTCCCAACTTACCTGTTCATGTTTATAGGACTTGTTCAAGAATTTTTCATATCGTTTCCTTATATATTGTCCAAGTTCATAATGCTGCTCCATGCCCAGCTATGGGAACAAATAAAAGCAAAAATTAGTGAAAGTAAGTTCTGTGAAGCTATGTGTCGATCAAAACAGGCAATTCTATACAATTTTCCTACAGTTACTAGTCACTAGGGGTGACTTGATCATGATCAGAAATTGTTGAGGCTAAGCATTAGTGCTTCTCTTTCCACAATCAAAACACATTTTACACTTTTTAGATCCCAGGTAACTGTGCAAAACACTTTCCCAGATATGAGTAAAGTAGTTATATGGTTTCAATAATGTAACAGTCCCACAGAGTTTCCCATGAGACTCATCAGTAACTTGGTGAAATCCAACCAACCTGAGTGAGTTGGCCAAATCCTTGTGGCCATGAGGATTCCTTAATGGGGTCGTTAGGAAAGGTTTCGATGGGACTTCGGTCTCCATGCCTAAAAACCTGAAAATAGATTGAGGTAGTAATGTTACAAACTTAACTTAGGTGTTTTGCCTCTGCTCATAATGATAGATTTTTCTTCTAAACCTCTGGTTCTCCACCTTGGCTATTCATTGGAATCACCTGGAGAGTTTAAAAAAAATTCTGAGGACTGGATCCCACCCCTTGTGATTCTAGTTTAATTAGTTTGGGATGCATCAGGGCATTAGGATTTTAAAGACCTCCCCAAGGAAATCTCAGGTTAAGAACTGCTGTTCTAAGTTCAGTAACACGTTCTAAAGGCTCATCATCTTGTTATTCACATTACATGAAACACAGGAAAACTGTTAGTGAACTGTTATTGTTTCAGGTAATGTGAATAACAAGATGATGAGCCATTAGGAGTCAGGCGACCCACACATGGAGACCGGTTTACACATCAGACAGGACAAGAAGGAACACAAAGCTTAGCAAGATCACTTTATTGTCGAAAAACTCTGATGAGAAGTATTCCTTCCTGAATTATGATTACAGTAATAATAGTGTTAACATTTTGACATATCATAATAGTGGCTTTAAAATGCTACATACAATTTGTGACCATCTTGAGCCAATGATTTATTAGTTTTTAGGAGGTTAGAGATAAAGGACTTGCCAGTGGAAGATTAAAAAATCTAATTTTCAACAATTTAAGATCCTACTGAATTTGTATGCATGTCATCATGCTTTTTTTTAACACCTTTATTAGAGTATAATTGTTTTACAATGCTGTGTTAGTTTCTGCTTTATAACAAAGTGAATCAGCTATACATATACATATATCCCCATATCTCCTCACTCTTGCATTTCCCTCCCACCCTCCCTATCCCACCCCTCTCGGTGGTCACAAAGAACCTAGCTGATCTCCCTGTGCTATGCGGCTGCTTCCCACTAGCTTTCGGTTTTACATTTGGTAATGTATATATGTCCATGCCACTCTCGCACTTGGTGCCAGCTTACCCTTCCCCCTCCCCATGTCCTCAAGTCCATTCTCTACATCTGCATCTTTATTCCTGTCCTGCCCATAGGTTCTTCAGAACCTTTTTTTCTTTAGATTCTATATATATGTGTTAGCATACGGTATTTGTTTTTCTCTTTCTGACTTACTTCACTCTGTATGACACCTCACTCAGTTTCGTTTCTTTTTATGGCTGAGTAATATTCCATTGTATATATGTGCCACATCTTCTTTATCCATTCATCTGTTGATGCATACTTAGGTAGCTTCCATGTCCTGGCTATTGTAAGTAGAGCTGCAATGAACATTGTGGTACACGACTCTTTTTGAATTATGGTTTTCTCAGGGTATATGCCCAGTAGTAGGATTGCCGGGTCACATGGTAATTCTATTTGTAGTTTTTTAAGGAGCCTCCATACTGTTCTCCACAGTAGCTGTATCAATTTACATTCCTACCAACAGTGAAAGAGGGTTCCCTTTTCTCCACACCCTCTCCAGCATTTATTGTTGGTAGTTTTTTTTTTTTTTTTGCGGTATGCGGGCCTGTCGTTGTTGTGGCCTCTCCCGTTGCAGAGCACAGGCTCTGGACGCTCAGGCTCAGCGGCCATGGCTCACGGGTCCAACCACTCCACGGCATGTGAGATCTTCCCGGACCGGGGCACAAACCCGTGTCCCCTGCATCGGCAGGCGGACTCTCAACCACTGCGCCACCAGGGAAGACCTGTTGGTAGATGTTTTGATGATGGCCATTTCAGACTGGTGTGAGGTGATACCTCATTGTAGTTTTGATTTGCATTGCTCTAATGACTAGTGATGTTGAGCATCCTTTCATGATTTTTTGGCAATTTGTGTATCTTCTTTGGAGGAGTATCTGTTTAGGTCTTCTGCCCATTTTTGGATTGGGTTGTTTGTTCTTTTCATATTGAGCTGCATGAGCTGCTTGTAAATTTTGGAAATTAATCCTTTGTGAGTTGCTTCATTTGCAAATATTTTCTCCCATTCTGAGGCTTGTCTTTTCATCTTGTTTATGGTTTCCTTTGTTGTGCAAAAGCTTTTAAGTTTCATTAGGTCCCATATGTTTATTTTTGTTTTTCTTTCCATTTCTCTAGGATGTGGGTCAAAAAGGATCTTGCTGTGATTTATGTCATAGGGTGTTCTGCCTATGTTTTCCTCTTAAGAGTTTTAGCATGTCTGGCCTTACATTTAGGTCTTTAATCAATTTGAGTTTACCCCAGGAATGCAAGGATTCTTCAATATATGCAAATCAATCAACATGATAGACCATATTGACAAACTGAAGGAGAAAAACCATATGATCATCTCAATAGATGCAGAGAAAGCTTTTGGCTTGTCCTCACGGTGAGCCTCAGCTGCCCCCCCCCCACCTCTGCAGGAGACCCTCCAACACTAGCAGTTTCCTTTACACAATTTGGAAAGATGACTACTCCCCAAATTACAGCTAAAACCATATGACAGCTTGCTCAATCATCTTCAGTCTCCATTGCCTACCAATATACATCAGAAATACATCTACACATGGAACAACTCCTACAGAACACCTACTGAAAGCTGGCAGAAGACCTCAGACCTTCCAAAAGGCAAGAAACTCCCCACATACCTGGGTAGGGCCAAAGAAAAAAGAATAAACAGAGACAAAAGAATAGGGATGGGACTTGCACAAGTGGGAGGGAGCTGTGAAGGAGGAAAGGTTTACACACTGCGAAGGCCCTTCACGGGCGGAGACTGCGGGTGGCGGAGGGGGGGAGTTTCAGAGCTGCGGAGTAGAGCACAGCAACAGGGGTGCGGAGGGCAAAGTAGAGAGATTCCCGCACAGAGGATCAGTGCCGACTGGCACTCACCAGCCCGAGAGGCTTGTCTGCTCACCAGCCGGGGCAGGCGGGGCTGGGAGCTGAGGCTTGGGCTTCAGTCGGAGTGCAAGGAGAGGACTGGCAGCGTGAACGCAGCCTGAAGGGGTTAGTGCACCACGGCTAGCTGGGAGGGAGTCCGGGGAAAAGTCTGGACCTACCGAAGAGGCAAGAGACTTTTTCTTCCCTCTTTGTTTCCTGGTGCGTGAGGAGAGGGGATTAAGAGCGCTGCTTAAAGGAGCTCCAGAGACGGTTGCGAGCCGCGGCTAACAGTGCGGACCACAGAGACGTGCATGAGACGCTAAGGCTGCTGCTGCCGCCACCAAGAAGCCTGTGTGCGAGCACAGGTCACTCTCCACACCTCCCTTCCAGGGACCCTGTGCAGCCCGCCACGCCAGGGTCCCAGGATCCAGGGACAACCTCCCCGGGAGAACGCACTGCGCGCCTCAAGCTGGTGCAACGTCCCTCAGGCCTCTGCCGCCGGAGGCTCGCCCCGCATCCGCACCCCTCCCTCCCCCAGGCCTGAGTGAGCCAGAGCCCCCGAATCAGCGGCTCCTTTAACCCCATCCTGTCTGAGCGAAGAACAGACGCCCTCCGGCGACCTACATGCAGAGGCGGGACCAAATCCAAAGCTGAACCCCGGGAGCTGTGCGAACAGAGAAAGGGAAATCTCTCCCAGCAGCCTCAGGAGCAGCAGATTAAAGCTCCACAATCAACTTGATGTACCCTGCATCTGTGGAATACCTGAATAGACAACGAATCACCCCAAATTGAGGAGGTGGACTTTGAGAGCAACATTTATTATTTTTTCCCCTTTTTGTGAGTATGTATATGCTTCTGTGTGAGATTTTGTCTGTATAGCTTTGCTTTCACCTTTTGTTCTAGGGTTCTATCCCTCCATTTTGTTTGTTTGTTTTTTTACTTTAAAAAAATTATTTTTCTTAATAAATATATTTTAATAACTTTATTTTATCTTACCTTATTTTATTTTATCCTCTTTCTTTCTTTCTACATTTTCTCCCTTTTATTCTGAACCATGTGGATGAAAGGCTCTTGGTGCTACAGCCAGGAGTGAGTGCTGTGCCTCTGAGGTGGGAGAGCCAACAGCAGGACACTAGTCGACAAGAAACCTCCCAGCTCCATATAATATCAAATGGTGAAAATCTCACAGAGATCTCCATCTCAACAACAACACCCAGCTTCACTCAACGACCAGCAAGCTACAGTGCCGGACACCCTATGCCAAACAACTAGCAAGACAGGAACACAACCCTACCCATTACCAGAGAGGCTGCCTAAAATCATAAGTCCACAGACACCCCAACACACACCAGCAGATGTGGACCTGCCCACCAGAAAGACAAGATGCAGCCTCATCCACCAGAACACACAGGCACTAGTCCCCTCCACCAGGAAGTCTACACAACCCACTGAACAAACTTTAGCCACTAGGCACAGACACAAAAAACAACGGGAACTATGAACCTGCAGCCTGCAAAAAGGAGACCCCAAACACAGTAAGATAAGCAAAATGAGAAGAAAGGAAAACACAGAGCAGATGAAGGAGCAAGGTAAGAACCCACCAGACCTAACAACTGAAGAGGAAAAAGGCAGTCTACCTGAAAAAGAATTCAGAATAATGATAGTAAAGATGATCCAAAATCTTGGAAGTAGAATAGAGAAAATGCAAGAAACATTTAACAAGGACCTAGAAGAACTAAAGGTGAAACAAGCAACGATGAACAACACAATAAATGAAATTAAAAATACTCTAGATGGGATCAATAGCAGAATAACTGAGGCAGAAGAACAGATAAGTGACCTGGAAGATAAAACAGTGGAAATAAGTACTGCAGAGCAGAATAAAGAAAAAAGAATGAAAAGAACTGAGGACAGTCTCAGAGACCTCTGGGACAACATTAAATGCACCAACATTCAAATTATAGGGGCTCCAGAAGAAGAAGAGAAAAAGAAAGGGACTGAGAAAATATTTGAAGAGATTATAGTTGAAAACTTCCCTAATGTGGGAAAGGAAATAGTTAATCAAGTCCAGGAAGCACTGAGAGTCCCATACAAGATAAATCCAAGGAGAAACAGGCCAAGACACATATTAATCAAACTGTCAAAAATTAAATACAAGGAAAACATATTAAAAGATATTA